AAATCTGCCTGATCTGCCCGCAAGCCAATCCCCGGGTGTCTCACACAAACAACAGTTGAAGACGAGAAAAGGTGGTAAGCTCATAATTCCCATTTGCCATGTTTATTCATTATTACTGAACTAGTGACACAGTTATAGGATATAGCAATGTTGGTTGATTAAGGGACAGATTGCTCTCCTATTAGACAGGAGACGTCCCCTAAACCTCAAGAGAGTTAGGTAAGGCAAAACGTCAAAACAAAACAGCCTAATAACGGCAAACGGCTAAGTAATTGCCCGATATAGGTTGCGTCTGCATACTAGGTTCCGACTTTATACATGCGCTACATACTAAATACTAGTCTTAGCGATAGGGGCAAAGGAAGGGATCACAGAGAAGCGTGACAGTTTAAGAACGTGCATTTTGGAGGCAATTAAAGAGAGTACCCGAGAAGGAAGCAGGAAGAGATGACGAATAAAGGACGATGGTCCAAGAATGGAGCCCTCCCAGACTAAATAGGAGCTCAAAATCAAGATTGGATACAGTTTACAGGCCATGTTAGGCCACACCGAATTTGGGTGATATTGTGGTAGAATGTTAGAGAACACCATTCCAACGAATCGGCGACTACCAGGAGGCCCAACACCCTCAAACTTTCACAACAAACTTGGGGTGGGAATTGGGGCCTGCGACTTGCACGTATTTTTCTAGACACTGATTTATGTCAACACTCAGGTTTGTCTCATGTTTACGGAAGACAAGAGGCTACCCGAAGGCCTTCATAGGCCGATACCCATGTGTTCGTCCCCCGAAGACCCAACCGGACCCATCTCATACGATTAACTCAAGACGGGACAACCCATGAGGTTGTTCGAGTTTTGTCAAAAGACTTACTTCACCTTCGCAGAGAAAAAAACTAATGAGCCGATCAAGCGAACTCCAAGAAGCTTCTCAATCTCCATTTTAGTGGCAATCAAAATACACAGTAAAAGGCAGCATAAGCTATCAGGAGCAGCCTGCCTGCCGGGCTGACGGTTCGATTTAGGATGATAAGTAAACACGCCCGGGCAGAGCAATCATCACGCCCGAGTCCACCACGCATGATAAAAGTTCAACAGGTCAGAGGCCGCATGCCATCCAACAAACTATCCAAGCACAAGAAGGCAATTAACGTTAATTGTCGCTGTATGTTTGCAGTAATGACTGTATCTTACAAATACTGCAAACTCCTGTGCATGTATTACCCGTTTCTGCTAATGTCTCTGATGATAAAAACGCGACGGATATCGAAACGTCAGGCGAATAAACGAATTGTCTTAGCGACCGAGTCGTCTTCTTCTCAATTATTTCCTGGGACTCGCATTTTCGCTTGTATCAGCATAAATATACATTTTGCCATTGAATTTCTTAACTCAGTCTGACTAGACGCATGAGAGAGAGAG